TTTTTTTGGGCTAGAGGTTTTCAGGCTTTTGAGAATATAACTAGGCCCGACCGATCAGGCTTTTAGGCCTAGTCAGGTCTGGTCCTTTTCAAGGTGGGGATGAGTCGGGCTTCGGGCTTTTTGTGCATCTGTTGGTGCACAAGAACAAGTATATTTCTGGTACCAAGTAAAAACTTACAGATTTTGTGCCTGTYGAATTGTAGAAATMATRTTTCTCRGGACTATCAATKGTTTSTTGATGGATGATTGCCATCGCCATGTCATGAACCAAGGGATGCATAACGAGCTTATTGTTGTTGTCAACTCTTATGAGATATTTGTCCATGAGTTTCCTCATACCAACCTTAGAATAGAAATCATATTCTTCCAGCAGTTTCACTGCATCATCTATGTTTTTCCCAACATAAGACCAAGCGATCATCAGAAATAATTGTTTGTCGTGATCTTCATGTAACGACTTGTAGCTCATCTCTACTATCTTGGAAACTTGTTTATCTGTTATTGCTTCCAGATTTTCTAAAGCACTTGCCCAAACATCTGTGTTTTTGCCAAATAGAGAAGAACCCATGACCTGAAGAGCTAAAGGGACACCTTCAAAGTATCGAATGATTTTCTCCGAAAGTTCCAAGTAGCCTTCCATCGGAAGATCTTTGGAGAAGGCGTGCCAACTAAAGAGCTGAAGAGATTCCTGATCATCCAATTCCTTAATCCTAAAAGTTTTATGTTTTTGGCGACTTGGTAATCGCTCACGAGTTGTGATGATGATTTTACTTCCTTTAAGAAACGAATCCTCAACTCCTATCAAAGCATCGACATGTTCAATTTGATCCACATCGTCAAGAATAACCAAAACTCTTTTTGTGCATAAAGCATTCCGAATGTTGACAATACTCTCACCCGTGTTATATGTTTTTTTCTTTTGCTCCTTACATATATCTGAAAGGAGTTGATTTTGTAAATGTAGTAAACCATTTTGTTCATTAGAAGCTTCTCTTATATTTGCAAGAAAGCTGCAAGTTTCAAAATAAAAAAAATTCAAGTTATAAGCCACTTTGGCAATGGTAGTTTTTCCAATCCCTCCCATCCCGCAAATCACTCCTATCCCAACATCAGCGGGATCTTTTAACCCTAGGTCAATGTCTTTAACTCGAGATTCAACCCCCACTGTATATGAAGCAACAACTAAGACTTCTCGTTTCAATATTATTCCTACCTCTTTCACGATTGTCTGGATGAATTCTGCTTCATGCCTACCAATTAATCAAACACAAACATGTAACCTCACTCTTGTTTATATAGATATAGGAACGATAGATCTCACCTTAACAACAATATATCACATACATGCAAGTCTCAGAAAAACTGTGTGTAGATGAGAATATCACAGGGTTAGACAACCACCAATATACAGAAACCAATGAGTGTAATTAGACTAAACAACTCTAAATAACTAAAAGTTATTAAGAAACCAATATTACATCAACCCTTTTAAATTTTGAATAAAACCCTTCTACTATTGAATGTTGTTGAGCTTACCATTGGTTGGGAGTGGAGATATAGTCTTTGAATGCTGTAGAACTGAAGTTCATGTAATCTTTCAATTAGTGTGGAATAATAAATCATCCGATTATGGAATTTCAAATTAGCTTAATTTGTACCACATTACACAACCATCACACGAAAAATGTTCTTTCAAATGGCATTACTACAGAGTAATTTTTTGATGGAATAACCTTCTAAATCTGACAAAATTTCACATGAAGATTTCTTTTCAGTCCATATACTTCAATTTTTGATCATTTTAATTCCAATGCAATAATTACATCCCTTACATTTTGCTTTGATTGAATTTGGAGAATGCTTTTTAAGACGGCTTTCTTGATTGGAGCTGTAATGAACAGGACAAAATCTGCATAAAATGTATCATGGAGATTTGTAAAAGAAAACAGGAGAAGCAGGAGGAGACATTCAGCCACATGAGTAGGGCAACTGTTTTTGAGCAAGCAATCCAAGACTGAGCTTTTTCTATGAATAGGCAGTACCAGGAAACTTGAAAGTTTATAATTACGAAAGGAAATTTTATGTTGAAACCTGTTAAAGGGCACAATCTTGGTCTTGTTACCATGATGCTTAATCTTTTAAGTTAGGTACCGATAGGCAGTACCAGAAGAATCGATTGTTTACAATTACCCAATAAAATGACCAAAAACCTACAAAATTTACTTTAAAACCAATTTAATTGTAGAAGCCTGATCTTTTTACCATGAAGCTTGATCTTTGACGATCATTAGGAGCTGTTAGGCAACTCTTTAAATTGTCTTTGTCTGCTCTTCAAATGGAGTCTGCCTTTATGCAGTTAGTCGGTTTTGACTCAAAACTGTGTGGGACTATCTATAAAGGTCGTCAATGTGAAGGTTGAAACTAAAAGGTTGAATTTAATTTCTATTGACAAACTAAGGCTGAATAAATACTGCACATTAACTACAAAAAAAATTAGAAATAAACTTATATAAGTAAACAATATTGAATTGACTAAATAATTGATATTGAAAACTAATAATTACATATATAATGAGATACTACAACTAAGATATATTGACAAGATATACAAGGATATTTCAAGATGAGATTCAAAGATTGATATCCTTGATTAGAACATGAATATAGTAGGTGACTACAGAAGGTGGGATGTAAGTTTTAGAAAGGTGATCTTTATCACGCCCACGCAAGATGGACGTCCTCTGGAAAGACCAATCTTGGCAAATAATGTGTAGAAACAAGATTTGGATGATGGTTTGGAGACTGAATCAGTTATATAACTGATTGTCGACAAGAATGTATTGAACCCAAATGGTGTCGTGTTGTACTTGTTCACCTATAAAGTGAAAATCTAATGCAAGATGCTTCATGTGGGGTGAAAAACAAGATATGTACCAAGATTATCATAATAGATGTATGGTTGATGTGTTGTGCAATACCAATCTCGCGGAGTAAAGAGGTCCGCCAAAGTACTGTAGCCGTTGTTTCGTACTTTGTCGTTGTGTTAGCAATTACTCGAAAGTTTGCCTTAGTGCATGGAGTATACACTAAGAACGCTTGCTATTTGGAGAACCATGGAAATGGATATTGTGACTAAGATAAACCAAGTAACCAGCGATAGAAATACAATTAATTGTGTCTTGAACCAAATCTTCATTTGTAAAGGGATGGAGTTGTAATGGAGAGAATCAAGGCGAAGTTGAAAATCATAGTGCGATGTATCGTTTAATTAGGTATCATTGTAATTGCTTAAGAACAAGCCACTAATCATTAGAAGGGCAATGTATATGTTGTGACAATTTATTGATAACATACATAACACGAGTACGAGGAACTATGATCTTCAAAGGATGGGGATATTGATATGGTTTGGAATGAGTGGGCTTGAGGTGAAAATAAGGGGTTGATCTAGAGCTACGAGAGTATGATCTACGAGAGTGGATATTGGTTTGTAGTCATGCATGTTATACTTTACTAGAAGATCTAGAAAATATATATGAGATGAAACTGAGATCTTTAAGAGAAAAAACGAGCAGTGAGAGTCATAATGAAGTTAGTTAGGCTAGAGGGGGAAGGAAGGTGACGATGATGGTGATGATAATGTCATCGACATAAATAAAAATTAGATGGTGGTTGCAATAAGTCGATATAGACATAGCAATAGATGAGGAAGAGAAGAGGAAAGTTATGGATATGATTCTCTTTATTCATACTCGGTAGAAGTTCCTTAAAGAATGCATTGTTGGTGTCACGTTGATGGAGAGACAAACCATGACAAATACCTAAGGATAAAATGATGTTAACTGTGGTAGGACTTATAATTAGGCAAAAAGTTTTAATGGTAGTTGATGTGGGGCATTGCTGAAACCCTTTGCAACAAATCAGGCTTTACATCATTCAATGGAGCCATGACGTAGATTGTATTTAGTGCAAAATACCCATGTACAACCAACAATACTTTGGGAAGCATGAGGTGTAACACATTTCTAAGTGGTGTATTATTGCATGTAAGAACATTAAACTCAAGTTGCATTGCGACGTGCCATGCTAGGTCTTTTAGAGTTTCTAGTAGCGTTGTATGTTCATGAGAAGGAGAGATAGAGAAATATGGTTGATATATTTAGGATTGCATTTTATGTTCTTGTCGGTGAGGAGAGCGATGATTGCAGTGGTCGGTGGAGGCGAGGGTGGTAGAGAGAAGGTTGTAGGGAATTTTAAAGAGGGGGAATTGTGGGCTTCCGTGGTGTGAATTGGGTTGTATAAAAGGGGAATGAGATAATGTTTTGGATAAACTGATTGAAGGTGACAGAGGACTTTCAACTGAAGCGAGTGAGGGTGAGGGAGTGACGTGAGGTGGTGCTATGGGATTATGGAAACTTGATTGGCGACAGTAGGAGGGTATGGTGTTGTATTATTGCTACAAATAAGATGGTGAGGGGCATATATTCGAGTAAGGAAATTATGACTCAAGATTTAACATGTATAGAAGTATAAACTTTGTTGGCTTTTGGATACATTTGAGTGGATGAATAAACGACAAATATACAAGAGGTGGATTTAGGTTTCATTTTGTAGGCATCGTATGGCTTTAATCACATATAAAAAAGACAATCGAAACTTCGAACGTACTTTAGTGTTATAAGGATTGTTACTCGAGAAAATACGGTACAAAGGTAACTATGGATAGTAGGAGTAGAAACACGGTTGATTAGATATATAGCGGTTGTAAAGGCATAATGCCATAAATTAAGAGGTAGATTTGCACGAGATAAACGTATGAGGCCGATTTCAACAATGCGGCGATGTCGACACATCCATTATGTTCAGGAGTATGGGTGGTGGTTATATGACAGATATATTATTAGGAGACTATGAGTAATTTCAAGATATTCCCCGCCATTATCAGAGAAGTTGAATAATAGGATGATCGTCTTTTTCTACAATATTGCATAAGCATTGAAAGGTTAAAATGGTTCACGATTTTCATTTGAGGGGAAGAAAGAGATATAACTGGCAAAGAGTACATTGGGAAAAAGTAGTTTTTGAATTTATTCTAAAGAAGTTGAAGTATAGTAAGAGTAGATTGGGAAAATGGTAGCTTTTGAATTTTATTAATTGAATGAATTACAAACATAATGAATGAAAAAAAATATTATCAAGAATTGACTCTATATAGTTTTAATATATCGTTACAGGGGTGGCCCAGATGATGATGTTAATTGTCATGAGGAATGACGATGCTTGAATGGACAATTAGAGGTGATGGGCTCATTTATAAATGCCTCTAGTAGCTAGCCCTAATAGGAGAGTGAGACCCATTGAGCGATTCATAAATACATAATGAAATATGTAAGGATTCAACATGGGAATTATTTGCCACGCAAAAATGGGAATAAGAAAAATGTTGCGGTAGATGGAAGATACAAATATAACATTTGTAAATTTAAATAATTTGTGAGAAGTAGAGAGATAGGAATAACCAATATGAATGCCTCTATTAGCTGGCTTTTAAAGTGAGACCCATTGAGCGATCATGAATACATAATGAAGTATGTAAGGATTCACAGGGATTTCTTTGCCATGGAAAATGGGGATAAGAAAGAATGTCAACGATAGATGGAAGATACAAATACAACATTGGTAAAATAAATAATTTATGAGAAGTAGAGAGATAGAAAATAACCAATATGAAAAATAAGCAGAGAGATGAGATCATCAGAGCCATCATAGGGCCATGTTAAGCTAGCGGTTTGCCAAATCATTTGAGACATGGTGCATTAAACCACCCATGAGCCATGAAGAGGAAGCATGGTGCCTTAAACCACTATCCACGAGCCATGAAGAGCAAGAGGGATTTCAACGAGTAGTAATGACAACTTTAGGGGCCGAGAGAATATTTTTAGCAATTACCCGTTCTTTTTTTATTTTGGGCTTGTTCTGTTTTCGATCCATGAGCTTTATGCTATGCTTGTTTGTGTTGTAAGGTTTTAGTTTTCTTCTATATAAGCACCCTTAAGGTGTTTCGACTTTTATTATGTCATTATTATTATTATTATTAAAACCCAAAGAGTTATTGTCTTTTCTCTTTGACTTTATTGCTAACTAGTTGTGTACCCGTGCAATGCGGCGGGAGCCATGAATTTTAACGATTTTGAAGTTCCACTGGTTTAATAAGATAAGATTTAACGATGATATAAGTTACACTTGGTCTTTACATATTAATACAATTTGAATAAATAAGAGTTATAGTTCCAATTACAGACTATCGATGAAAAAAATTGTATGACAGTCCAATGTATTTAAACGACTCCACAAATGTGTTCGATTTACACCAAGAGCAAAAAACCAAGAAACTTGAGTTTTAAGATAAACACTCAAAACCAATAAAGAAAAATACAAATTTAACATATCATAAACCATGAAAAGACCAAAAAAGATGAGTTTTAGAATGAAATTTCAACTGTTTACCCTCTTTCTTGTCCAGAATCTCAGATTAAGGTTGAATTAATACATGTGTATATATATATATATATATATATATATTTCAAAAAAAACCCAAAAACATATTAATTCAAAACATATTAAATAGTACAATTTGGACAGCCTAACCCCAAAATATAATATATATATA